ATGCTTTTGGAGTAAACATCTTATCTAAAGATAGTTTTCTATTTCAGGCCCATTCATAATTCAGTTTACTCAGCATGAAGTGGAGCTTAGTTACCGTATTTTTCAGAGTATAAGACGCACCAAGGTTTTGAAGAGGCAAATTAAAAAAAGAATTTGCACTCTGCAGGCCTCCCAAACCCTCTGCACACCTCATTTTTTTTGTGAAAAATGGAGCATTCAAACCTCACAAAAACGGCTCATTTTTCATGGGCCTGCTTTTTTTTTTAAAAAAGGGCATGGATAGCCTTTAGGAGGCTTACAGAGTGCTCCTGGGGTGGGGGGAAATTGAGCAAAAAACTGCCCGTTTTTCACTCATTTCTGCCCTCCCCAGCCCCCAGGAGCACTCTGGAAGCCTCCTAAAGGCTATGCACGCCCATTTTGGTGAAGGGGTGGGGTTTCAGGAGGCCAAAAATGCTGTATTCAGTGTATAAGACACCCAGATTTTCAGCTTCTTTTTTGAAGGAAAAAGGTGCATCTTATATTCTGAGAAATATGGTATGTAGCGTATGAGGCTGTATAGTCTGCAATATTGGGATTGTCGGTGAGTCAACAGCGGATCAGGAGGAGCCGCTGTGGGACAGAGATGACAGTGGCTCTTTACAAATGACGATTTAAATCAAGTCAGTTTAAATCAAGCCTACTATTTAAATTGACTCGGTTTAAATCAAATCCACCCTGTCTGCATGGTACAAAAAAATCTCACTTTTCATACGAATGACAGCCCGGACTGCATCCTGACACTTATTTCTTTGCAATGTCATGTCTACCCTCCCTCCACAAAAGAGATCCCCCGAGATTAAAAAACCCAGAGACAAGTTGGGGGGGGGGGGGCGTCAATTTTAGATATAGCAAAATCTCATGAAACAAACTTCCCTTTGATTCCTGCGCTTAGCCTACTGACGTCACGAGGCAAGCGATGTCCTTTGGGTCATGTTCCATTTGCACTTGATGCATTTACACAAACACAAGCGAGGTAAATCGACGCCCACAATTGTCATCGGAGCTTTGTTATGCAAATCAACACAAAGGATAGTAGACTTTTTTGTTCAGAAAAGTAAATTGTTCCACCCAGTTTGTCTATTGCATGGGTTGTCAACCTGATCCCTACCGCCCATTAGTGGGCATTTCGGGATTCCAGGTGGGTGGTAGGGACTTTGAAGGTTAAAACCTCCTTTTGATGAGTGGGCAGGCGTGAGCGCACACATCAATAAACCAACGTGCGCGTGCATGCAAACAAGCAAACACGTGGAACAATTAAGGGGAGGAGTGGAAACTGATAGCAGGGACAGACAGAAGCGGAGCAGAGCAGTTGCAAAGAAATAAGTGTCA